CCTAAGGACAATATTGTTACCAATTGTGTAAATATTAATATATAAAAATATTTAATAAATTTTTTAATGAAATGTATTAAAAATATCCTATTTGTTTTAATAAACTGCATAATAATTATAAACTAATATATAATGAAAATAATTACTTAACTTAAATATTAGATTTTTTGTAAAATATTAAAAATTTTCAATTGTAACAATGTAAACATTATAGAAAATAAAAACTCCTAATTATTTATTAACTAGTTGTAAAGACCATTGAGCTTAATACAAAGAACATGTAAAAAATCCATAAATATAATTTTTGAAACAGTTATAAAAGCAACTCCTGGAAATTTTAATCTCAATTTTAACCCATTTTTCGAGGGTTGCAAAAAGTTCACATAAAGGCATTTTGGGGGGCTTATATCTGGCCAAGGCATGGTTTCTTTGACTTTTTTGTTCCTATAAATATGCTCTACAGCTCTGTCAAAGTCCCAATTGCATCACTCTGTCCTAGAATTGTACCTTCAATTCTTCAATAAAATGTATTTAGAAAAAACAGCATTGCGTGCTGCAAATGCTTTTCAAAATGTGGAAGAATTTTTGAAAGGTCGACTCATTTGATTTTCACAATGGTCATTTTCTTTAGTTATTTAATAAATGCCTCTTCAAATTGTGTTACTGTGATAAACTCAACAGTTTGTTCTTAGTGTTAATTAACATGATCAAAATATATAATTTTAATCAAACTTTAGAATTCAAAATAATTTAACATAGATAAAAATTCAACGCGAAGCGACACACAACGGAGAAAAATTTCAACACGGGATAAATTAATATATTTTTTTGCATTATATTCGGGCTAATACGGTAATTATTCAATTATGTAACAATTTATTAAAATTTACTACATAAAAATATGTATTAATAAATTGTGTTTTAAAAGTATATTAATCATATCTTTTAAAATTATTTTAAATAAAAATTAAACAGTATTGTAGGCATATCAATTCAGGTTCTGAAATCAAGTTGTTTTCTTTATTGTAATTGATTTTTTTACATTGTTTTTCTTTGTTTTTAACAGTTTTTGTTTCTTTACTTTCTTTGCTGATGTATCTTTTAATTTCTGATTTTTTTCATCATTGTCATCCATTTGTTTTAATGTTTTGCAATATTCAGTCTGATTTTCCCCACTTTTAAGTATCTTCTTTCTGTTTTTCTTTATTGATGTATCAGCTGATTCATGTTCTTCATTAGCTTTACGTTTCTTCACTTTTTTCATTAANGACTCATATCGAAAAATTGTTTAAATTTAAATTTTTATGTGTTCTTCTCTCGAATGTTCATGTTCGATTAAAGCATTTTATTCGCCTGAAGACGACGGAAATACATTCGTCGAAAGCGCTCAAATGAACGAAAAAAACGATTAATAATGCTGAACACAGTGAGTTTTAACTATTAATTAAGCTAATAAATGTTCTCGTTAATCTTATCGCGTCTTTTGATTCATTCACAGTTACAAGAAATCACCACATATAGTCTCTCAAATCTCTGTAGATATAACAAACACAGAAATAGCTACAATTTATTTTGTGTTATTTATGTGTTGATTCTGCATGACAAGTCCGAACATGTAAGCTGAACAATAGTGTCGGGGAGTGAGTAATCAAGAGTTGCATGGTGCTCAAACAAAAGACAAATCGACGAGATTTGAAAATCGCGTAACTCTGGGTTCGCGTAAGTCAGGTAGCGTAAGTCAAGGTATTACTGTATGCAGAAAACATGTACTCTGCATTGTATGCAGAAAACAATGCAGAGTACATGTTTTAATATAGCATATCTAATTGATAACTTCAATTTTTCTCATACATGACGTTTATGATTTTCTAAGCTTTACAATATATGATTATTCAAAATATAAAATTTCAATGAATTTTATTTGTTTATTTATTAACTTTGTATTATTTTTTTCAGACTGCAGTTGAAGCATATACAGTTGCAGTTACAGGTAGCTTAATTTTATTTAAAGCTTAAAATTTACTTTTAATTTGAAAATGTGTATATTAAACTGTTTTAAACTTAAATTGTATGCTCTTTCCACCTGCAACACAATGTTAGTTTTCTGTGGATAGTTATCCATAAGGAGCGACAATGAGAAAACTTGTCTTGGATCCCATACTTTATAGAATCTTATTGAGGTCTGATCAGTAAAACAACAATACTTTCTTCTGTTTTTCAAAAATCAAGGAAAAAAATTGCAGTATGAGAATACTGAGAAAATGTCTTAATTATCTGTATATATAAAAATGATTGTATGTCTGTCTGACTGTCTGTCCTTCATGCATTACCACACTGTTTATCCGATTGCCATGAAACTTTGGGAAGTTTTTTAATACACTCCTGTGAAGGTTTCTGGCATAGTACATTTATCCTATGATAGATGGCGTGAGTGTACACGAGCATTTCATCGTGCGTTCGATCGATTTCAAATTGTGAAGACNCATTACATAGTTTTCGTCTCGCTTCATATTCTTTATAATCAGTATTCAATTCACGTAGAGATACGACCCCAGAAATACACGTGATCTCATGTTTTTGTAACAGTTCTTTATAATGACGAACAGTTTCTTCCGGATCAGCACGTGGATTCTTTTTATCCAAATCTCTGGTAATCAGACAAACTTCACCGACTCCATTTTCTAAATTCCAATGTGGTAAATAAATCTTAACTGCCTTACTTTTAATTTCAGGGATCTTCTTCAATCCAATCTGTAAAAATACTTTTTCCGAATGTTCATCATCTTCCAGCAATTTAGTTTTTCTGTTTCCATTTTCTTTCCATAATTTTTCAACCTTTTTTAAAGCTAAAACAGCTTCACTAATTTGAACTTTCGACACATCAACACGTGAGTCCGCCATATTGTACAACTAGCGCCCTCTGCTTAAATTGATTATCGTGTTAACAATTTATTTAAATTGATTGTCCTCAAAAATATAAAATAATACAAACTTACTTAAATCAGCAAAATAACATTATTTTAATAAATCGGCTTACATTTTCAGCCATTTTCAATGGCTATCATTAGGCTGTTCTACAGGATCGAATGTTTTAAAAAATTACAACAGAACTTTGAACATCAAACATGTAAGTAGCGAACAAATTTAAAAACCGAGAATATATGAGAACATATAAATTAAATAGGATACAAAAATACATTATAAGTAATAGAAAATTACACTCAAATTATAGATACACAGAGATTTCATGTAAAGATGTCCATGCCAGGAAAACTGTCTTTCGGTCATTATAATTGACAGATGCGTTTTGTCACGTAGATTTATAGATTGCGGTACTCTTTGGTTAATTAACGGGACAACAGTCATTTTTACTACTGTTTTTAGTGAAATCGATGTTTTATTTCGTAATTCATACATGTTTTAAAATTACAATGAATTACTGAACAATTAACAAACTTACTACAATTATTTTTGAGTATTTCAAGGTTTATACTTGCAAACGATCGTATCCGTCTTCTTCTAACTCGACAGTTTGTACGCTTTCCAAGTCAGAAAATATTATACTTCCTTCTTTCACATTATTTCATATAGCATCAATCGAAGTTTTACCTGAACGGTCTCGCACGATAACTAAAAAAAACATTCTTTCGATTCACTATCTATTCCACCAAATACCCATTACTGTGGAAGAACAGTCCGACATTTTGTTTTCTACGTGTAAATAGACTATCGTGCACATTAACCATTCTGTTTGCACCACCTGATTTTACAATGATTAAAGATATTTAAAAATTGCTACAAACATAATGTATATAATCATTCCGATCGATATTCGTACTGGGATTATTTTCTAACTCACCGTGTAAGATTCCAATTTCTAGGAAAAAACGAATCGCAATTTCTTCGTAATCTGACAATTGCCATATTCTAAAATCAAGTTTAAATCGAATAATATAACAAACTGAACAAAAGGAACAATTACGGGAAACTTTGAAAAAAAAAAACGTTGAGGTACTGGTACCGGTACGTCACTCCTACCAAGAACAAAAATAGGATACCTTATATAAAATGAATAACGCGATTATTTAACTAACATCGAATATTATAAGCAAATTTGTTGCTGCATACACAAATGATACCGGCAATTTAAGTGAAAAGTGTAACACACATATATATATATAGAACATCGATAAATCGAGCACGAACAAATAGTGGTTACATGAACACCACTGACAATGGGTGCGAAATAATCAACGCGTCGACAAATTACATGGAATGAATTTTTATATTTAAACACTAACGACAGACAGTTGGAGACAAATGACTTTGTACGATTGAGGTATTTGTAGATCATGCACTGGGTTCCGGACCTCAATGCATCTTACCCGTATGGTCGATCATTGGATTGGACCTTGCATTTCACTATTATGTAAAATTTCCCTTCGTAATTTTCTGTTACCTGCAAAGAATTTCATGATCGCTTTACTCGCGTTTTTCTCTTTTCGTCCGAAAAAGATCATCGTCACTTCCGTTTGACTCGCCGACGGCCGTGAAGTAGGTCTACCGTTTTGCACCGAATTCACTCTCGCCGCGACGGTCGGGAGGAATGCCTTGCACCGATGAGTAAGGGAAGCAATCCCTCCCCCGCAGTCAGTGGTTCTCCGCATTACGCGAAATATATTTAGGGCCGATCCTCTTTTTGTGTACCCCGAAAGGAAACAGACCCAAACTAACTACCAAGAAAACAATACCTAGTGGTTGTACAGATCTCTTAATTTTTATTAAACCAAAAGAAAAAAAGACGAAACAAACACATAGCGCCAAATACTTATTATAGTGTAATAAAAGGTACAAAGATAAAAATAAAAATAGGACTATTGAACAAAAATATAAATTTTTCTTTTCTCAGAAGCACGGGTAGGCCATTTCCGGCAGGCGCAGCCGCAGTCGCCGTCTCCCCTCTCTACCCCGGGGGAAATTCGGGTCCTGTCGGCTGCGGACCTCCCCCACAACATTACCGAATTGGCCTTCTCCTTTTCCAGCCCCGGTAGGGCGCGGCCAACTTCGTCCTCTTCCAATCCCCAACGGGGGGCTCCCTCTCGCCCAAAGGCCACATGGCAGCGACTCTCGTCACCACGACCAGACCAAAGACGGTCCAGTATTTCTACAGGGACCGGTTCCCCTACAGGGGGAAGCACATCTGCCGGGATTCCCATTTTCCATCTAGTTTCTGCCCGATCGATGACCGCGAAGAGGTCCACCCCCGCCAGGGCCTCCTCTCCGTCACCGAATTCCTCCGGAGGGTTTACCCCAGGCACCTCGTCCAACGCCCACAGATCCCCCTCGTCCTGGTTGGACCGGGCGATCTCTTCCGTCCTCTCCCTAGGAAAGTGGGGCGGCTCCCCATTTCTCGGGACCTCCGGCTCCGCAATTTGATCGGCGTCCGTCGGGGGGTCAAACTCGGGTCCGTTGCATCCTCCGACCGGCCGAACAGACACGGTGACCGCGAGTGCACGGTTTTTTAACATACCCTTTACCACCCCCATAGGGTGATGCCATACACTCATAATTCTTCAACGTGGCGGCCAACTTAAACCCCACCCATCGGGGAATGTCATGAAATACCGGTCGGCGGACGCCCTCCCCCAAGGAGATTTGTACCCGAAAACGCCGGGTATCTTCCCGCCAGCCCAGGTGATGGAGGAGAAGGTAGACCAGGGTGTGACCTGTTCCTCCCTCTTCTCCTTTATCACCTGAGCGATGAACTGGCTCTGCCCCCACGCCATTCGGGCGACCCATGTACATCTTCTAGTCAGATGCCACCCGACCAGATACATTCCGAGGGTGGGATAGCATCCCCCCGAGGCTGGGGTGACTCCCAGCTAGGTGCGCGAGGAGATCTCTATGGGGACCCTCCCAATGGCACTCCGGATCCAACACGGGGCAAGGACAGGACCGGTAAACACGATGTTTTTCATGGGCCTTCGAGTCCTTTGGGGAAAGGAACTCCCGACACCCCTGGTGGTGGTAACGGCAGGGGTGAGCCAACACTCCCACTATCTGCTCCAATGCATTTAACTGTATAAGTGCAATAAATACTCTAAAACATTCTTTTAGTTTTTCTTTTCTTTACATTTCCTTCGAATAGGAGTGATGATTGAGGCTGCAATTTTCAATCATATATTTAATTTAAAATATATTCTCTTGATTTCAATAGTGTCTTGCCCCTTACATCATACTTTTCCTGATAATAGTAGTCATCTATTTAATGCTGTTCTGGAAAAAATTTTTTGATTTGAAATCATGTGACTTTTGGCCTAGACTAGAGGTTTGTATATATTTAATCACGTCCTCCTGCTCCTAAGCTTTCCATATCTGGTCTTGACTTTCATCTAACTCTGTTCTTGAGAATAAAGAAGGACATACAGATGGGTGCCGTGGGAATTTACGCATCTTCAATTTGACAACTGATCTTTATTATTTTAGGTTTTTTATCTGTTAAGCGAGAATAGTTACTGTGATAAAATAATTGCTGTTTATAATGATTATGAGGTACATAAGAATCCACAGTTTTACCACCCTATAATATACTTGTATCCTAATTATACCTAGCAAACACAATAGATTCTAGCCGAGATTTTTCTTCTTCTTCAGAGAGACTATTACCTAAGAACAATCATCAATCACTATTTTTAAAATGTATAAATGTGTCATTTTAAATTCCTGACAAAATGTTGCAAAGATATAAAATAATTTTTAAAAACATGTTTTAAGAGGGATAAGTTGACGATTTTAATTATTAAAATTAGTGATAATACAGAACATGTCATACTTAAGTTCTCCTAAAATGCATCGTGAACAAAACGGTGTACATCGAATATCGATTTCCCACCGAAATAATATATTATGTCAGAGATACGGTACATTCCAGAACTAAAAGCAATTTATGTGCAAGTGTCTAGTGTACAACAATAAACTGTTTATATGCAAGTGTCGCTATTTGTAATACTTTCAAGACCTAGTATAAGATGTTTGAACGGTTAAGACTTCAGTCCCAGATCGAATTCGGGCTGTCGAAGAACCCGATGTGTCGAGTCCCCTCTCTTACAGTGCACCAGCTCACATTGCGGATCTTCAGACACCGAGGATGGGTAAGATTAAAACAGCCCTTTTTTAGTGTCCTCCATAAACAAAACAAAACACCACCAACTTCCACATTGCGAGTGTGACGAAATATACGACGAGCACGGAGATCTTTAATGATCTTAGGTAAGAGTTGGCAATACTGAAATACCAGCGAGATTTGTGCGCGGATAATTTCTTACCGTAGTAAATTTCCAGAGATTTAATAGAAAAATTCATCACAAAACGATTATTGGCGCTAACGTGCGAAATTCCATTTAATCCACGCCAGTTGTGATTACCAGAGCTCCTTGGGCCGCCAATTTATGGCGTTTTAATCTTTAAAATTGGCGTTTCCACTTCCCGGGACGAGGACACACGAGTTGGATTTGTGGGAAGCGAGTGTTCGAGTCGTTTCGTTGTGTCGAATTACATGGAACGAGGCGCTCGACGTGTAAGCGCGTGAGTGCGAGAACTCGAGTAAAGGTTAAGCGGTGTATATCTTCGTGTACAGTGATGTTGTGTCCGCGCGTGTGTGTGATCGAAGAACATCTTTCGGCATGTCTAAAAACAGTAAATTACGATACGAGAATACGATGTGTAAAAAAGAAAACGAAAGCGTTCTTACCATCGGAGATTTCGGGAAATATTCGCATGTATGATAAACGGCCGCTTCGTTCTCTTCGTATTAAAGTTGGGGAGGAAGAAGGATCTCCCTCCCAAATGTTCCTACAAAAACACAAAGACGGTGAGAAAGCGAGAAATTCATTTATTACCTAAGGACAATATTGTTACCTTTATCGGACAGTCTTTCTTCCCGAACAGTGTTATGAGAAGAGCGAAGGACATAACCTACCCAAACCAGAAGCTCAATCCTCATAACAGCTGTTTGGGAAGAAAGGTCGGCCGAATGTCGCCGTCCGAAGAACAGCATCCAAAACCGCATCAACCTCTTCATCCCGTGAAAAAGAAAATTTGCAATTAGTCGAACGAAAACAAAAGCTTACAGAGAAAAGGAAATGCTCATCGCGGCTGTCTTTTTAAATGGAAAACGAAAACGGCCGAGCACCGAACGACGATTCTTCCGGTAATATTAAATAAATTCTTACGTCTAAGGTCAATACGGACTAAGACTTACCCGAAAAATCTTTGATCTTCTTTCGAAAAGCACACAGTTGACCAGAGCAAGAAAAACACGTCCGACTCCGAGCAGAAACACAATCGTCACGCGCGACGTATTTCCAACAAACGTTAAAAGACGCGTCAACAACGTTCGAATTTCGTAAAATTTTGAATTAATTCATTTATAATTTTTCTTCGGTCGTTTTCTCGTCTTCGGAATTTGATAAACGAATCCTCCCCGCATTTAAGTGGAGAGGTAAAAGACGATCTTCTTATACACTACGTCTCGAGGCTCGACCGTCTCCGAAAATCGCACGAAATTGGTTGGAATAAATAACTTCTTGGCCCAATTTTGGTCTCGGCGCGAAATAAATCAAATTCTTATGATTTCGCCCAATATTGTTTGGCTTTTCGGAGAGATTCCTCGATGGTCGTGGGGGATGTACGTACTGCGTGTTTGATGCATCGTCAAACTGGACAAAGTTAATACCGAAAAACCTTTATAATAAGGCGGAACGAAACTCCACGTGGCCATTTCCCGAATCCGTGACCAAACTTTTAGTGTTGGGGGAACAGAACCACTCGGCCACTAGTGGATCCAGCAACGGATCGTTGCTGGTAGACTTTAGATTGTCACCGTGTTTTCGTTTTTATAGATTAATCTTCGTATTTTTAATAAAGTTTATTTAAACATTTTTAGATAAGTGCTATTAAACTTTTTTAATCACTGGTAAAATAACCAAGTAAATACGGCGGTACGTCGATACTCCGACACAAATTTTGCAAAAATGTCACTCGATGCATTAGTTCTTTGTTTCTCAAAAACTTCTCTGTTTAATTCGGATTTATTGTATTCATTGTTTATTAAACCTAATTTTATTTAAAAATGAAAAATATTTATTCAGTTATTGTTGCGATATCAAAACAATTAATAATTCAGTTTAAAATGAGTTGCAAAATCGAAAAAGGTTTTTCAAATGCTCCATTTGGTATTCGGTCAAAAAGGTGAGAAAAATTCATTAATTCTCTCAATCCAAGCTTCTTAGTACAGTATTTATATTGCGCTTGTATAATCTAAACGACGTTGGATTTTCCAGATTTAACGATTTGCGAGTTCATCCACGTCTGAGACTTAAAAATATAAATGTACGAAATAAAATCGTAAGTGTATTATTTAAATTTTAAAAAATATTATCTAAAATTAAATTAAATTTCGTAAGAAAAGTAATTTGGGACCCGGATCTTACGAATTGACCGAAAATAAAGAGAAAAGAATTCATTCGTCGTGGACTAAAGCGTTAGAAGACGAAGACTTTTCTCGACTTCCTCAAGTTTTTAGAAAGGATTGGTACCTTTATACGAAAGACGAGGTTACTTTACGTGAAATTTATAGATAAGTGGACCTAATTCTATTGATTAAAATTAAAAACAAATTTAAATAGCCAAATAGAAGAGGTCCCGGAAAATATTTACAACACGACGTCGGATATAAACTTAAAGGTTTTTCTATATACGGACCTTATACCATTTGCAGTAAACGATTCGAGGAACCAAATGTATAACAATAAATCATTTTGTAAGGAATGTTTTATCTATAAATGCAAATTTCTATCGAATGTTTTGTATCGTTCATTGTTAGACACTGGAAAATCCGGGCCCGGGAGCTTACGGTAATCCTTACGAAGCAATAGAGAATGCAAATTTAAAAAGATCAACGAAGATAAAGGGAATTATGAGCAGTGAAACGATTGTTAAAAGAGGAGAAAAAATTTCGGTTTTTATAAATGATCAGAATTATATACATTTAATTTTGACATTAATTTAATAAAAACTATTTGAAATTCATATTTAGAAGGATTTTAAAGGACCGGGATTATATGAAATTAAATCATTTACTAATGAAGTATTAAATAAGCTTGTCAGTGTAAGAGGTCCTTATGATTTGTTTAGCGGTGAACGAGACGAAAGTAGTTTGTACGGTTATCAAATCAAACCGGTAATTAATTACTATTTAATTAATTAATAAAATATAGCCTAATTTATTTTTTACTTTATATCGTGTTAAATTTTACAGTCTAAATGCTCTTTAAATTTATCTCCCGGGGTTTATCGTTACGAATATTTCCTGGAAAAATGGGAAGATGTATATAGACGATATAATGGGAAATTTGCCAAAGCTCCACGTTTTATTCATAAAAAAGAGGTAAGATCCATCGAAAATTTAATTTCTTTATATAATTAACCTTCGATTTAACGGAATAAAATCTTATTTTCATGTTTTGTAAAATAGTAAACTATATTATATTAATAATTAACACTGATATAAATAGCACGGTATACAATACTTATCCATTGTCTCGCTGTAAAAATAAGAATGTTAATTGATTTTTAAAAAGAATAACAAATAATCGTTTAAATTAAATATGAAAATAAGCTATATTTATTTAATTTAAGGTGTAGATTATGCAAAATTATACGTGTATTTCTTATTTTTTAAATGTACTGTATATAATTAACGTGATATATCGGCAATCGTGGGCGAACGGAACACTCTCTCCCTGGAATTAAGCAAAAAATTCCGCAAATTACAATGGTAAAATTGTGATACGTACCCTCTGACGCAATACCGTATTCTACAGTCTACTTGTGAAAACCCTCCAGAAATTAAATAATTAAATAAAAATGTATTTGTCTCCAAACTTTGCTCCTCCATGGAAAATTTTCTGAGGGCGCGTATGCCAACAACCATTGTTTTATAAATAACGATAACGATTTTAATATTTGATATTTATTTTTCAGGTCTTACCGGGACCAAGCGATTATAATGTAAAATTTCCTAAAGTAAAAGAAGACATATTACGAGGGGATAAAGAAATTCCATTTTTGTTTACGGCAATTCGTCCTACTCTATTTGACCGAATGCCAGTCAGTCTGATTAATTTAAATATCGTAATAATTAGTTAAAATACTTTTATTAAAGTTATCTACAATGTATTAGACTCGAAGTGGTCCCGGATCTTACGAAATTAAACGAGACCCTAAAGAGAAAAACGGGTGTATTAGTTCATTTAAATCATCCAGGAAATTTATTTCTCAAAACCACAAGTAAGTGATTTATTTATCTACCAACTTGCTCTTTCCCTTGCTCTCGTTGTTGCCAATAAAAACAAGAAAAAATACCCACGTCTAAACGCTCTCATTTTCTTCTGTATGAATTATCATTTATGAATAACGTATTTGGTCTATTCCTTAAGTTGTTTGACTCTCTTACGGCTTCTGTTTTCCAGTTTCAACTGAGTCGTTTCGTGTCTTTCATTTAGCGATAAGGTGTGTAATCTACCATCTTTGATGAAGCAATAAACGCAACCAGAACCATCGAGATAATGGAGAATTGTCGGTGCAAAGATCTTTTGGATACCCCTTTTAGAGACCATGCTTATATTTAAGTAGAAAAATTATCTAGTATAAATATCAGCAAAGTTATTTCATTATTTGAAAAAAAAAATTCAGAAAACGGCCAATTTCTCCCCCTCTGTTGGGTCTCTAAAGTTTGTGGGTCCCGGGGCGGTGAGCCAGCTGCATTCCCTCTCGTAGGTCCCTAACGCAACTAATTAAAAACCAGATGGCCGGATGGCCGAGCGATCGAGGTGGCAGCTTACCACTCTGGGGTACCGGGATCGAATCCAGTCAGGTCAAACTCTAGGAATTGGGTGGTCCATCTGACTATGTTTGGACTTAGTCCCTCACCACCCGGCAGTCGCATCTTAGACCCGACAGAATTGCCAAAAAGGCCTTCGGTGCCCAAGAGACGAGACGAGTTTAAAAAAGAATGTATCTGTTTAATTTTGAATACTTATTAAAATATAAATTTACAACAATTTATACTAGTATGCAATGAAGATTAATTTTAAATTTATAAATTTAAGATTTTAATAGATTAAGAGAGTTTAACTTAGCATAACTAGTACATTTTGAATATTGTTTCTTTTTCAGTTTAATCAGCAAGCATAAGACAATAGCTCCTTGCTATCGCCATCTTTTAAAGGAAGAATGCTAATAATATGATCCAGACTTACAAATTTCTTTACATTAAAAATTTTGAATTTTTTAACATTACAAATTTTGTATATATATATATATATTTTATAAATAATAATATAAATACAGATGAGAAAAATGCATTAAAATATTTTTTTCAAATTTTAGGCTAGCATGAAATTTATCCTTTAATTTTTACACACAAGTTAAACAAAAAACATTCCTTGTAAGTTTATGCTGTGTGCAAAAAAAGCAATGTATAAAAAATTGTTGTCAAACTGACACAACAAGCTAACTTTCTGGTATGTGCGTAGCAGTTGAATTGTAAGTCATTGATGCTGATTAAGGGTTTTTTTCTTCTTCCAGGTTTATTTCCCTAATTAACTTAATCATTTGAGGTTTCAAATACATGTAATTTTCATTAATAATTATTTTATTCTCATAATTACTGAATTGAATTTGTAACATTTGAGTTTTATAATAACATTCTAATATAATATACTTTTGTTTGAAATTAGAAAGTCTGGCATTTCTAGTTTTTGATTTTTTTGATAAACTCTGGTAGAAGGTTTGTTTCTTGCTTGTTGTTAACATTTTAGACATATGAATGCAGTTATTTATTCATTTGTAATTACTAAAAATTACTACATTGTATATATATCTTCTATATTTCACTCTACTGAAAATATAATTTACAAAGATATTTGATGAGAATGTGGTAGAGATAGACAAAGAATATTCCAGAAGAAATTTTGTTTCTATTACAAATAATCATTACATTGTACATATATTTTCCTATAACATTGAAGTTCAATGACTTCAATTTGGAACTTGTAATTTGGAACGTGCTATAAGAAACTAGGATTATTGAGTGCAGTATGAAATATACAGGCAAAATAACTGTGGTAATTTGAACTTCCAATAGTTTTAATAATCTTTACGGCCAATTTTAATGGTTTCAAAATATAGTGGAACCACTAAAAGTAATCTAAATTGTAAGATAATTAGTGTTATTTGTACACAAAGTCAACTAATTCTTAAACCAGCAAAGAATTGTTTTTCACCAAAAAATTTATCAGAAAATTCAAACAATATTACAAAATTTAATTTCATAAATTATCTTTAACAAGTGTTAATTAGATAACAATATATAAGTTGTTAAATAATGTTTTTAAATATCATTAAAATAAACAATAAAGTAAGTAAATTATTTATAATATCTTTTAATTGAATAGAAAATATTAAAATAAAAAATTCTCTTACAGCAAAAAGGTTTTAGATGAAGATAAGTAATTATTAATTTGAATATTCGTAAGGAAAATTATAGCATAATAATAATAATAATAATAGAAAACTATAAGAAAATTAATTATGTAAATCAAAATCAATGATAAAAGAATTTTATTGCAAATCTGTTTTTAATTTAATTTTTTATACATCAATAGAGATAATTACAATACAAGAAATCTTAATTAAAATTCTTTTATAATTTGTTTGTGAATCGTAACATGATTTAATTCTATACTTTGAATATTAACCGATATCATTTTCATCTTTTTTTTTGTTTTTTTCACAATTACTCTTCACTTTTTCTATGATATATTTATTATTTACACATTACATTCAACTCAACTATACAAAATAAGTTTTGGGCCATATGTAATCATATACAAAATATGGTGAAAAAGTTGATTAAAATAATTATTGTGTATTGCGATACTGAATATACACGTTTTAAATAATAATTCTTTACACCTTTATCTTTATGTTTGCTCCTTGTGTCACATAGAATAAATGCAAAAATTAAATTTTAAAAAATATAACATTATTTAAAAATATATCCTCTGTGACCTCACAGAATAATTTATTGATTTCGAGGAAATTAATAAAAGCTTTGGTAACTACATTAAATTGGAGTAATCTAGATCTAAATTTCTCTTTAAGAATTTAAATTATTACAGATTACGTCTATGACAGACTAATGTATAAGGAAATGTTACACAGATGTACTTGACTACAATTTTTGGAGGTCAAAGAAAGTGGAACATTAAACAATAGATAGTATAAATAGAATTTATCACAGTTTCATAATTGCAACAATAATGATGAAACAAAGTATCTTGAATTCTTGAAGCATTACAAAAAGAGTAATTATAACAGATCACGTATTATTACAGCAAGTTTTTTTAATGTGCTATATATATACATATATATATTTTCACATATATATATTTATATATTTGCATTATCACTCGAAAATATTTTAACTCCTTATTCTCTTGAGCTCTCTTTGGAATCGTATCTTACAATGATATTCTTTTTCCAGATGACAGATTGTTAATTATAATAACTGGAATTATAAACTGATCTGGAAGAATTCACTTCAAAATCTTTGTGATTGCACAAGCACACATATATAAATACAAATTTTGATGTCTATATTGTACTATCATGGTGAAACCACATTACCATTGCTAGCAGTTTGTCTTTGGTAATGCTGTGGTGAGGTGTTAATGCTACCAGATATTGCAGGGGCATCAAATCCTGGAAAGCTATCTGGTGATTGGAGTGAATGAGTATAAAGTGGATTGATGTTAGAAGAATCAAAGTGTGTGCTATCATAGAGTGAATTATTCTGAAAAAATATTTATATTTATAATTTTAATATCAGATATCATCATATACTAAAAGATCGTTTAAGAAAATACCTGATAAATATAATCTGAATCAGTTTTTAATGATGAACAAGATAACTGATGAGGTAAACTAACAGTGTCATCTTCAACCACATCATCTACTTGGGCTTTATATGAAAACATGATACTTGGTTGTGAAATACTGAAATATGCAATCGTTGTTGAATTTCAATACAAAATTGCAGGTTAAATACGAACAAATTACAAAATATTTTCGTCTTACCTAAAGAAATCGGCCAAGAAAGTTCGATACACTAAAGGAGTAAATACGGTAAAGTATATATATGTTGTAATGTCCACAACACTACAAAAGAAAAGAAATGCACAACTTTATTTTCATTTNCGTCTTGCACGTCGCTTTTTCTTAACAATTCCATTGTTATGTAACACTTCCATTGTTACTTAAAACTTCCATTGCTACTTAACACTTCCATTGTTGATGGAAGTGTTAAGCCTCAATCCTGTCCCTCTCCCCGTGGGGAGGAATTTCAAAAAATCCCTTCTTAGTGTGCATTCTCGTAATGTACCCTAACTGTGTACCAAATTTCAACTTTCAACTCCTAACCGTTTGGGCTCTGCACTTATTATTATTATCATTATTAACCCGTCTCGATTATATATATAGATAACTAACCAAATATAAAGCAAAAAAGCCCCGAAAACATTAGTAGAGCAAGAGACAACTTGGGTGCACAACAAATAGTATTTACATAACAAGCACGTTTTTTCACAGCATCTGCAGTTTGAACATAGAAGCATTGTTTGAACTCTGGAACACTTGAAGTTAGAATCATTTAAAGTACAAGATACCACTGTATATAGATAATATCCATTATATTAATGTTAAAATTAATATTTTAATATAGATGCTTACCATAGACCATTGTTTATTTTTTTTAAAATTAAACCACTTCCAATACTCTGCAAAATATTTAGAATAAAATAATAATTTGTGGATGATCCTCACACAATGTTAAAGTTTATTGAATTATCATCATAAGATGGTATTTTATAACAAATTTAACCTAACTAAATAAATAAAAAATTTCAGTGTTTCAATCAAATGAAAAGATAATGTGGCTTAACTTGATCAGTCAAACAAACCACTGTCAGTAATACGGACAGTAAATCATTTTCTTATATTTTATACTCATTTCAAACTTAACATCCTATAAATTTTCAAAATTAACATCTTCAAACACTGAACACCTAGGAACCTACATGATTTCTAAATATTCTTTAAAAATTAATACAGCATAATAATGATCAAATAATTGAACTGTAAACATTTCTTAACTTCAATTAATAAGTAATGTAGTTTTTTTAAATATAAAAGTATTTCAACAACCAGATGGCTGAGATGGTTAAGGTATTGGCCTACCACTTCAGAAATCCGGGATCAAATCCAAGCAAATAACCTGAGGAATTTTTTACAAGCTGTAAGTCCCAGAGTCTGTCCTCATCATTTGGCCATCTCCACCATAGGTCTGGTTTGGCCAGACCTATGGTGGGGTCTGGTTTGAGTCTGGTAAGTCTGTTTTCTATGCCAAGATCATAGAAAACAGACCCAAAGGGCAGAGTCAAAAATGAAAAAATGTATATAGAAATATTTTTAAATTTAATACTGCGGTGCCTTGTACTTCAAATTTAATTTGTCTCAAGAGTCAAGAGAATGTTCAAACTCTAAACTGCTTGATGTCCAAATCAATTTTTCCCATTAGATAAAATGGAAATGAATTAATCTGTTCTCAGACTCTAATCAATACCCAATTCAATAAAATTATATAATATATATGTGTATTTGCTGTTTAAGTGTCTACTGGGACTTATCATATTAGTAGGACTTATTATACTGGTGTCAGGGTTCTGCAAATTGAGGAAACTTATTGAGAAATAAAACAATCTTTATTGTTCACCTGTTTCACCTGTACACACTATGTTTGTGTTTTAGACCTGTTGGTCCCTCATCAGCAGGTTTACAGCCACTAGGTGCTAAAACAAGATTTTATAAAATTACAAATTGGAATAGGACCCAATTAAAAAACTGATGAAGTTATTAGATACAAAATTGAATAAATTAAAAAAACAACAATTAATAATGGAAGAAGACATTAAAAAAGTAAAAAGAAAAGATAACAGAACATCAAGATTTAATATCAGAGTGAAAATACATAAAGAACCAGTATTGACCTTTAATAGATGTTAAAAACTAAATACGGTAGAATCTCGATTATCCGGATTGTTCAAAATAAACAAAAATTTTACGAATTTGCTGATTTGCACTTGGCGAATTACGATACTGTTTATGTACTTGATGGAATGCATAACTTTGTTTCAACAACATCTCACCCAGCACAGTGGTCGTAAACTCTTAAATATATTTTGCGTCGTAATAAAAATATAACTTGACATACGTATTTATAAATAATTTATATTCAAATTACATCATTTCTATGACCAAGGGCGGCGTAAGGCATGGACGACGTGGGCCACCGCCTATGCCTCGCGGTCCGAAGGGCCTCGCGCCTCGAAGGTTTATGCATTACTTAAAAGCCGCGAACGCGACGAAAAAATTTTACTCGTCATAAAACGATAAATAGTTTGTCAAATTTTTATTCATAAAAATGCAGTTTCAACTGCTTTTTATTTTATAAAATCCGTCTTCTTGCGCCACCAGAGGGCCTTTTAAACAATAGGTAGTCTGTTAGCGTTGGTCAGTAGTAGTCCAAATTCAATACGAACGTTTGTTTCTTGAAAATTTGATCACGATTTAAATACAGTATTTATTTTTAATATTACCGATATGTCATCGAAAAGAAAATGTGTTGTATTATCATTAAAAGACAAATTAAAGTATTTGTTTCGATTATCCGAATTTTTCCTTATCCAGACTACCTTCATCCCCAATTAGTCTGGATAATCGAGGTTCTACTGTATATTATAATTTAGAAAAATTCTTAAAAAATAAACTAAATTCATTAGAAATATCAAATTATAGTCTTAAAAATGTAGATGAATTGTTAAACAGATCAAAAAATAATAAGTTAGTTATTAATAGCAACATGAAATTGGTATCATTAGATATAAAAGATATGTCTCCTAGTATAACTAAAGATGATATTAAAAATTTGTTATTAAGAATAAATGCTCCACAATGGATAATCAAATTACCGTATATCTGTGCAGATAAGATGATAGTTGAATCATAAAAAAAGACCCCCAAAATCTGGGGTCGTCTTATAGGACAGATATAAAAAAATTAGATGAAATTAATTGGCTGTAAACCTGATGATGAGGGACATTAAGGTATGAAACAAAAACATAGTGTGTACAGGTGAAACAATATAGATTGTTTTTTCTGAATAAGTTTCTTCAATTCATAGAACCCAGACACCAGTATAATAAGTCCTACTAATATGATATGTCCCAGTACACACTGAATGAAACAAAAACATAGTGTGTACAGGTGAAACAATATAGATTGTTTTTTCTGAATAAGTTTCTTCAATTCATAGAACCCAGACACCAGTATAATAAGTCCTACTAATATGATATGTCCCAGTACACACTGAATGAAACAAAAACATAGTGTGTACAGGTGAAACAATATAGATTGTTTTTTCTGAATAAGTTTCTTCAATTCATAGAACCCAGACACCAGTATAATAAGTCCTACTAATATGATATGTCCCAGTACACACTTATATAATAAATTGTATAATAAGGACACAGAAGCATATGAATTAATAGCAAATACACATAATTTAAGGTGAAAATAGCACAATTAAATGTTCTAAATAAAAATTAAAACAATAAATAAAATATTTAAATATTGCATAATAAGCTGAAAATTGCATTTACTGGTCACAAACCATTTGGCATTTTGAATGTGGCACTAGATCCACTCACATGTACTAGCTTCACGCTTTATGATAAGTTATTTTTCTATCTCAATTAACAATACTACAACCTTCCTCTTAAGCTAGGCTTCTTTGCTTCCATACTCTTCTTGAATGCCATGGTTAAAAGTTAGGGGTTATATATGTATGTATATATATATAAACATTAAACATTAATTAGTTAATAGGCCAACTGATTTGCCTTTCTTCCAGACTTATCATATCATTCTCATAATGACAGCTTTACTTCATAATATAACCTTTATTTTGGGTACTTTTTCTATTGGTAACCCTTTTCAGTCTTACAACTTTTCAATCTACAAATGATATATTTGGTTAGTTTCATATATATATATACTAGCAGGTAGGCCTGGCATTGCTTGGGCAAAAGTAACGATAGTGAAGATTAAGATTATTACGTTACAGTCAACCTTACCCGTTTTCACAGAATGCAAGAATTGGGTCCCCCTGTTTCCGGACTAATTAGAGAATTTTTAGATGGGTCTAAAAATATGTTTGATTTCCCGCAAAAACGAAAAAAACTGCATCTGCGTCTTGCACGTCGCTTTTTCTTAACAATTCCATTGTTACGTAACACTTCCATTGTTACTTAACACTTCCATTGTTACTTAACACTTCCATTGTTAATGGAAGTGTTAAGCCTTAATCCTGTCTCTCTCCCCCGTCGGGAAGAATTTTGAAAAATCCCTTCTTAGTGTGCATTCTCGTNTAACCTTTATTTTGGGTACTTTTTCTATTGGTAACCCTTTTCAGTCTTACAACTTTTCAATCTACAAATGATATATTTGGTTAGTTTCATATATATATATACTAGCAGGTAGGCCTGGCATTGCTTGGGCAAAAGTAACGATAGTGAAGATTAAGATTATACGTTATAGTCAACCTTACCCGTTTTCACAGAATGCAAGAATTGGGTCCTCCTGTTTCCGGACTAATTAGAGAATTTTTAGACAGGTCTAAAAATATGTTTGATTTCCCACAAAAACGAAAAAAACTGCATCTGCGTCTTGCACGTCGCTTTTTCTTAACAATTCCATTGTTATGTAACACTTCCATTGTTACTTAAAACTTCCATTGCTACTTAACACTTCCATTGTTGATGGAAGTGTTAAGCCTCAATCCTGTCCCTCTCCCCGTGGGGAGGAATTTCAAAAAATCCCTTCTTAGTGTGCATTCTCGTAATGTACCCTAACTGTGTACCAAATTTCAACTTTCAACTCCTAACCGTTTGGGCTCTGCACTTATTATTATTATCATTATTAACCCGTCTCGATTATATATATAGATAACTAACCAAATATAAAGCAAAAAAGCCCCGAAAACATTAGTAGAGCAAGAGACAACTTGGGTGCACAACAAATAGTATTTACATAACAAGCACGTTTTTTCACAGCATCTGCAGTTTGAACATAGAAGCATTGTTTGAACTCTGGAACACTTGAAGTTAGAATCATTTAAAGTACAAGATACCACTGTATATAGATAATATCCATTATATTAATGTTAAAATTAATATTTTAATATAGATGCTTACCATAGACCATTGTTTATTTTTTTTAAAATTAAACCACTTCCAATACTCTGCAAAATATTTAAAACAGCTAAAAATAGTGAGTACCAGTAGAAGGATTGTTTGGCTGTAAAGTTAAAAATATGAAAATTAATTAATACAGTTTATATAAATTTTTATACAATTGTTTACTTGATAATTAAATGAAATCATTCTGAAAAGAAAATCCTGTTACATTTTTGTTTTATTTGTCTAAATATCAATATAAGCATTTTTGATAAAACTTAAAAAATTTATTTTCTGATAAAAATTCCTTTTATTATAACTATATGTTTTATTATTCTGTAATACTTAAGTATATCTTTTCTAGAAAGTTTATTTTAAATAGCATATTTCTTCTGTACTACATGTTATTGATGAAATAGCATCATATATATAAATATAGTGATGTCGGTATTGCTATTTTAATCTAATAAACTATTATATAAATCTTTACAATTTACATATCTTTACAAAATACAAGATTTAGGATTCCAGCTTTGACCCTTACTTTTTTTTTAGAGACAGTACTGTCAACTTCAATTTCTCTGTGTCTTATCATAATATATGCTTACAAACTTTATGATTTACCTTTAAAGCCATTATAGGTGGTATTTTTATTAATTCATAGCCATAAGAAAAAAATTAACATGTTAAAATAATTAAATATAAAAATTCATAAGGTAATCAAAATGTTTTTGCAACACTGTCACTTTGACAGCCAGATGCCTGAGCTGTTAAGGTGTCAGCCTATTGCTTTGGCAGAATTTGGGAGACCCAGAAATGAATCTGGATGGATTAAAATACCCAAAAAATTTTTGGGGTTAACCCATCCTGAATACATTGGGTCCTGTCTCTTGCCACTCAGGTATGGCTGAACTCACAATGGGTTTGATAGAAAGGAAGAAAAGAAAGAAAAAGAGAGAGAGAGAGAGAGAGAGAGAGAGAAACTATTACTTTTTACATTGAATGATTAGTTTTGGAAGCAAGTGTGTGTTCTTAAACATAAAATTTTTTTAATCCAACAACAAAACTTGGCAAGTATTTTTAAATTAATTATTAATTCCATTGTGACAATGCCTGGAAAGCAATCATTAACTAATGACGCTGAACAAAAAAATAAAATAAACTGAGAGAATAAAATTACTGAATCTGGGTTTGTGGGTTTGTACAGTACCTGGCCAAAGGGCTAACTAGCTGTATGAACTTTTTAGGTTTTCTTCATGTGCCTAAAAACTAAATAAGGCCAATTCCCTTAGAAAGTAAACTCTGGATGCACCACCTTGGCAGATTGCCAACTGTTGCATTACCTTATTCCATCAATCTGATCTGAAAAAATAAAAGTAAACTCTCCTGGAAATCGAGGAGAACAAAAAAGAATATTTATATTTGTGATTAACCAGGTCACAAAGACTGTCCCAATAATTTCCCATCCAAACTTCTGGTTGCAATAATTTCTCAAATGAAAACTTATTAACTTATTTTTTGCATTTCACATTTTGTTTTATACATAGGAATAATTCACTTAGACATTAGTAGTTTTTCTTTATAGCAAATATCAATTATGTAGATTATAAGCATCACATTTAAACTGTAGCACAAATTAATATAAAGTTTTTTTAATTCAACCAAGAAATCTTAAAAAATAATTTTTAAACTTCATTGTTTTTTTTAAATCTTATTTATTTATTTTCCATTCTGAGATATCTTATTTCTTGAGATAAAAAATATAATAAAATTACATTTCAATAAGAAATACTCACATGGTAGTGCAAGTCGCTCTCTTAATTTTGTCCATGGCAGAATCAGGACCGTAAGATACACCTATAAAAACTTTTGTTTAAATATGCATCACTTGATTACAGAAAACAATAAAAATGTGCATATGACTTTATTAATTAAGGTAAACAAACTAGCATAAAAATATGCAATTGAAAAATGTGGTTATTATTCATATGATAAATGTAAATCATTCAAACAATTAACATCTAAAATGTAAATTCAATTAAACTGCATGTCCATCTTCAGAAAAGAAACTAGACTCGTATTCTTTGGTAGCAAGATAAATATTCTAAACTACCAAATATTTATCCTGTCTCCTAAGAAGATTACATTTACTTTGGAAACAATTTTAACTCTCATACATTATAGCAGGGCTTCTTAAACTTTTTTATTCACGACCCCATTTATGATTGTAATTTTTTTCACAACCCCAAAAAATATAAAATAAAGATATTTACAAATTTGCAAAAACAATAATGGTGTACTACCATAGTTCACTCTTGTGTTACAATGGAACAGAGACAACTGAATACACTGAAAAGCGACTACACTACACTAGTTCACACTACAGTGTTGCTGAATCATTGTCTTGCTGCACCAGAAGTGACACAAAGCGCAACTCACGAAACCTATGACACAAAGCGTGACATTTTCAAACTCTCACAAATTATTTTCAATATTTTGCATTAAAATCTCGCGACCCCAAGATTTTGCTAAGCGACCCCAAATGGGGTCACAACCCATAGTTTAAGAAGCTCTGCATTATAGTAATTAGTAAATAATAAACCACCAAATGATCGCCTACATATCAGGCTATAATATGGATAATTAAATGAGGTATAAAGTAATTTGACACAAGGGATAGACATTAGGCGCCATCTCTTAAGTAAATTAATAATTATAATTAAATAAATAAATTATTAAATAAATTTAGAACCTTCTGGAATAAAAGAACTGGCCTGGGACACCTAACGTCTACCTCTTGTGTCAAATTACTTTATACCCATCATTTAATTAGCCATATTATAGCCAGATATTTAGGTGATCGTTTGATGGTTTATTATATACTACTCAGGTTTTGCAATGTTATTTGTGTAATTAGTAAATGCAGGAAAAGAAATAATTCAAATCCTAAACAGAAAAAATGCATTTCATCATAGAGGAAAACAAAATCCAAAAACTTTTCTCCAAAAAAAAAAAAAAAAAAAAAAAAAAAAAAAAAAAAAAAAAAAAAAAAAAAAAAAAAAAAAAAAAAAAAAAAAAAAAAAAAAAAAAAAAAAAAAAAAAAAAAAAAAAAAAAAAAAAAAAAAAAAAAAAAAAAAAAAAAAAAAAAAAAAAAAAAAAAAAAAAAAAAAAAAAAAAAAAAAAAAAAAAAAAAAAAAAAAAAAAAAAAAAAAAAAAAAAAAAAAAAAAAAAAAAAAAAAAAAAAAAAAAAAAAAAAAAAAAAAAAAAAAAAAAAAAAAAAAAAAAAAAAAAAAAAAAAAAAAAAAAAAAAAAAAAAAAAAAAAAAAAAAAAAAAAAAAAAAAAAAAAAAAAAAAAAAAAAAAAAAAAAAAAAAAAAAAAAAAAAAAAAAAAAAAAAAAAAAAAAAAAAAAAAAAAAANTAATCCTGTTTTTTATTAAATAACTCCTAAAAACATCTTTTTTAGTAAAATCTTTCATCAAAAATACAAGTTACACAGAATAACACAAACCTATAAAGAACTTGCTGTTGACTCACAATCATACAAAAATGATTCATCATGAATAAAATGATAAACATAGCAACATTGCACACTGGTGCACATCATTGCAAATCAAACATCAGCCATAATGGATAATGTAACCAGAGATTACAAAACTTTTAAATAGTCTTTTGCCATAGCAACCACAATCACATACTATTACATATATTTATAAAAGCAATTTATCTTACACTAGATATATAAAACTAAATGTATAGTTCTAACATTTTTCAAATAAAGTTTCCATTTCTCTAAAAGTAAACTGCTAACTTCACTTATATAATTATATAAAGTAGAAATAAAAAAAAAAGTAGCACAAATATATTCAAATAATTAAAACTTAAAGTATGAAATAATTTCATTATTATATTTTTAAAACTATAAAAGTAAAAATACGTTGCTTTTCTGAATAAAATGATTTTTTCTACAATTATTAAATAAATTATTGTTATTATTTATTTATTATTTAATTTTGATTCAAACTATAGTATTTATTTTGAGATAAGATGATAGGTTAAAACTTACCAATGAAAACAGTAGAGAACTGACAAACCAGAAAATCATACCTCCATGACTAAATATACCTTTCTCTGATTTAACAATATAAAACGTTTCATCTGGAGCAATTATTTCTAAAGCGCCCTGCAAAATTTTTTATAATTATTATTATATTAATTATATCTATGCCAAAATGTTATAATTGTTGTCATTTGTATATAAACTTTAAAATTTTCAAATACTTAACCAATATTAAACAAAACACTGAAGTACTAGTCTTTTTGGGTAATCACAATGTTTGGTATACAGCAGAGATATTTTCCCTTTAGCAAAGTTAGTGCTAAAAGGAATATCTTTGGCAAGAGGAAATAGTCAGTTATATCAAAAAGTACCCAAAGGGGACCTAACTAAAAAATTGTAAATATTTGAATTATTAATAATTATATTTTGTTAACATGGGCACTACAATTGTATTGCGAATGGTCCAATAAACCATATTTGCAACCAGAAATGTTTTTTAAAAATGTTTTAAAGTTAAAATGAATAAATTAAAATTTTTTGGTGTCAATGGAAAGGACTTAAGCCACTGTAGTCCACACCTTGGATCTGTCACTGCTCAAATTATTACATCCTGGAAAGTCAAATGTTAATACCCTGTATATATATATATATATATAATATATACATACACAGGATATTAATGTTTGATATGCTGTAAATTTAAGTAATGAAATCATTTTGTACGAAGCAACCTAGGGTTAAAATTTTTCACAAAAATTGGGTGCTATGGCCTTGATTGAACATGTCTGTGTGGAATTTCTCTAAAATAAAATTGAACACGTCTGTGTGGAAGGCAACTGTCATCACATTTCTACTTTTACCTTCTCTGTCTTATTGTGTATGTATTTTGGGATAATGAGTACTAGATAAATACAGTGTAATTTTATTAAATAAAACTGATATTTTTAGTATATTTACAATAAATGTTTGAAGTGGAACCACCAATTTCCTTATATGGATTATAATGACAAATCACATTTTATTGTACTGTCTCAAAGAGTGCTTGCTCTCTGATAGAATAAAAAGCTAAAATAACACAGACAAACCATTCTTCACTGTTGTTTCATTCAGAGTCATATTTAAACATTTATCATTTGTCATGAGGATAGGAAGTTGATTTTGCTAATTAGTACCTATGGCTGGTACTGCTACTTCACATAAAGTGTAATTAAGACAACTGGCTCTCTTCCCTCATTCTCTTCAACTCTCTGCTCCTTTATACTGCTGTACTTTTCTCAATCCTGAAAAAGCATCTTTTTGTTTTGGTGGCATAACTGTTAACTATTCAGAACAATTTACCAACAGTGAGAGGACCAAAGCACAATCTCTCAAGCCTGGAAGGCTTAAGAGATTGTGCTTTGGTCTCTATAAATAGGAATGAATTAAGCTTTCCATAAGACATAAATTTGTATATAACTTTTTACAACAAATCATATTGCTGTATTTGGTTTTAATTTAAATTTGAACTTATGTTTGAAAATTTGTTTTTATGTCCTATTAGATTTTATAACATTCAAAATTTTCATGTTAGCTTGAAGATAACTGTTTAAAACAACCAAAAATGTTTGCTGGTTGCATTAAAAGATGCTTTTTACTGATTTAAAAAGGTTGCATAAATGTTATCTTGTGATTATATATGTTTTTGATTTATTCTTACATTTTATTTATTATTATTTTGTATTATTAATATTTCAAGTTACCTGTGTTGAAGAATAAATTAGGGCTATCCATGAAGTTACAATCAACACTCTTTGAATACTTGTTCTGCTGTCCAAATGACCTAAAATATATTATTGAGTTTAGCACAAAAATCCAAATAGATGCCTTAAAATATATTTACATTATATCTAAGTTAACATTTTATTACTATGTAAAAAAATACACTCCTTAGAAAAAGTATAAATTATTAAAAACAATATAGAGTATAACATTTCTGCATATAAATTACAGAATCACATATTTTAACAATAATAGAAAATTAATGTATCAGAATTAATAAGCTTTAATTATAATTATTTAAAGGCTCTATAAATATTTAGAAAAATATAAAAGTAATGTACATTTTCTATATGTAAATTACAATAACATTAATATTTACAGTGGAGGATAAAAAATTTTTGAGAGAGAAAGAAAAATGATATTCACAGAGACACGTTAAAATAGACATTACAAAGCCTTATCAGCTGCTTTGTAATTGCTTTATGAAAACCCAATAAGATATCTACAACTTATAATATTGTATGAGATATGAATATAGATATCATGCCACAATAGAAGCTATCTCTTAATTCTGGAAATTAAAGCTTATATGGCCATGAAAAGCCTAAGCATTCCATCCTTTTAAAAATTTATGCAATATATGTCATCACATTTGTCAACATTCTAATTTGGAATGTTGAAATTTTCAATTCTTGATAGATATGAGGCAAGCTTAGAGCCAAAAATGTTTACTTGGAAAAAAAAAAACTCTGCTGGAAAATTTATTTAAAGGTGTGGTTATTTGTGAATTACTTTTTATTAATTTAGTGTTTTTAATACTGTCAAATAATTAACTTTCAAGCAGAATATAAATTTACACATAATTTTAAAATAATCACATAATAGTACTAAATTTTGTTTTTGATTGATTGATAGTGTGTATAATAAAAAGGTTGATAAATGAATTAAAATTTAGATGGTAATTTTAAAAACAATCAAATATTTTTGTAAGATTATATAATTTTAAAAAAATCATTTAAGATAGTTAAGTATCTCAACTTTCAGGTAAACTTGCAAATTCAGTTCAATACAGAAAGTATTGAATTTTCCTTAATGAAAGTATAATGTATGTTTTATCAAAATGTTATCCTATTTACTAAAACTATAATTATTATTCATTTATCTTTCATAATTTTTTAAAATCTATTTGAATGCAAATTCCAATATCAAGATTCTAATTATTTCATCTTCGTTTTATTAGTTCTGTTAATTGTTTTTCATAATTATGAATTGCTTTCTTATTTAACAACCATTATTACATTATCTAACTTCTCAAAATAATGAAGCTTTGTGTACCACATTGAAAATGAGATCTTTCATTTTTAATGTGGTATACAAAAAATCATCTTTATGATAACGAAAATTCTTATAAAAATGATATCAAACACTCAAATTTAATATATAAAATTATTTTTCAAAATATCAATTTTAAAATTATTAATAAAACCATACCAAAGGCAAGTCCAAAAACAAGGACGCTGATTTCGGTTGACAGCAGAAAAAAACGGACAACTATCCAAAGAATCTATAATTATTTGAAAAGTATATTCATATGTATTTGATATTAGCATTTTATTACATTAAAATTATCTTTAGATTTATAACATTAAAGGAAAGTACTCCTTTAATACTAAATACTGAAACATTTTAATGCAAAAAAAAACTATAATGGATAATAAATTATTACAACAGATATTTATTACAAAATATATAAATAGGTTTTAAACTGGTCAAATTATCCAAAAAACAACAAACAAAAAGAATAGGAAAGTTAATGCAAAACAAGAAATAGATTTGTGTTTTCTATAAAATATTCAGTTGATTATTATAACAAGTCAACTAAAAGTGTGAAATAAATAAGATACAGAAGTAATCTTACATGGTCTGAAATAACCATCCCATAACAATAAGAAACAAACATACAGATCTCTATTAAAAACAATAAAAACAGAGAATGTAAAAAAAATTAAAAATAGCTATACACAAACTATAACAAACAGTGTAACAAAAAAAAAGTTATATGCATTATCTAATAAAATTAGGTTAATCTAATCTTATTAGCAATTTGTTAAATCATAGTAAATCTAAAGATTTTATAATGTTTAAAACTAACTGAAAATTGTACTTATATTATATGTAAAATGTAATATTTTGAATAATCGTTATAAAAAAGAAAATATTCTATATTTTCTAATAATATACAATATACAATAATGGGTGAAACTATATACAATAATGGGTGAAACTATATACAATAATGTCATAATAAAATTATGACATTATTGTATATAGTTTCACCCATTCAGTTACAAATTGTTACTTAGTAATTTAAGTTATTTCAAAAAACTGTCATTTGATGTGTACTTAATGAAAACAATGAAAATATATCCAAACTACATTCAAAGCAAGACCTGAAAATATTGTACAAAAGAAATCATCTACACACTAATGTTTGAAATTGATAGGAAAGTCATATCATGTAATTAGTACCAGTTCCCTCAGCACTAGTAGTAAGGATGCCTGAAGATAAAACTTGTAAAGATCAAATACATCATTTTTAGCAGTTTCATAATACTTAATGCATCATTTTGGCAAAAACGTTAAAAAAATCACAGTTTTGGCAGTAAATACTAAAATAAATTCTATAAAAAAATTTAACGTTGACCTTTATTACAAAAAAAAAAAAAAAAGATAACAATTGAAATGACATTTGCACAGATTTATTTTTTATTAATTAACAAAGTAATCCAATGTAGTTTGTTTCATTTTTTTTTCATATAGTTCATGTACTTTTTTTTTTGGATTTTGTCCATGCAAACACTAGACCAGGGGTGTCCAACCCGCGGCCCGCGGGCCGCATGCGGCCCAAGGCAAGTTCCAATGCGGCCCAATAAACGTGTAAACAAAACCGACAAATGTTTTAAATTTTTTATTATTTATTTATTTCAACGGCATAAACTCAAAAAAAAGTTTCACAAAGCCGTAAACCTTTATTCATATTTTATTTTTGAGTGGAAAGAAAATATTTTCAAATACTTGGAGATGTGTGAATGCGGAAGGATTACTAAATAAAGCTGGAGTTGTGACTCAAAGGATTATAGACCCAAATTTGGGAAAAGGAGGGAAAGATGAGAAAGGACAAAAGATGTAGTAGTGAGAAACGTTAAATAGATCTTCTGTTAAGCAAATATGGACCCGTAATTTTTCAACCTTTTTCACTTCTTTATCTTTTGTCCTTTGCCTCTTTTTCCCCGCACTTGGGTCTATAATCCTTTGATTCACAACTCCAGCTTTATTTAGTATTTCTTCCAACGTTGCAAGATTTGGCTACATTGCGCCAAATGTGGCTACTTTTTTTTGTTTGACGTAAAAAATATCATTTGGCGCTTTGGCTACTTTTTGGGCTACATATTATTTATAAATATATTAGTTGAATAAAAATGCACTTTAAAATGGTGTTTCGTCGCTTTTTATTAATTAGAGACCCAAATAAAACAAATATTTGTGTTTTTCAAATAAATTTTCGTTTGTCTCTTTTATAATAAATGAATTTATCTATTTCTAAGTAAAAATTGAAAGTGTCTGTAGAAGTAATTTTTTAAAATATCCTGTTTCGTGATAAAGTTTTAATACTTATTATTATAATCTAGACATGATAATCCTTAAATATACTTGTATATTGGGCCACAAGTATATATTATATATACTTGTGGCCCAAAACTCCTTGACTTCTTGCAATGCGGCCCAGAGAAACAAAAAGGTTGGACACCCCTGCACTAGACTATCATCCTCACATAAAAAGGTGATTACATAACACTTTTTCCACAATGGATATTAAAGAAAATGCCTCTTTACATCTAACATGAGTGTTTTCCAATGGTTTTCATGTAACCTGATGAAAACAAACTCTATTAATGGCTGAAGCTGTAAATACACATTCTGTTGTGAATGCATATGTATTTAATTGATTTTGGAATTAATGAAACAATAGATTTTTTGCTCAAAATAATTAAATGCCAAACAGATTTCTTCCATATTAAAAAACCTCTCTCTTCACTGATAACACTGTGTATCTGAATGACACTGAATAGATGTCCAATAAATCAACAATGTATAACTGATAAAACCAAAACTAAAAATGCCACTTGAGTATGAAAACTTTCCTTAATACATGTAATATGATGGGAGATTTCAAATTAAACAATATTTTTGCAAGTTCACTGAACCAGATAATGACTTTGAATTTCATTGCATGTGTACTTCAAACTATCTAAACTAAAATATATGCAAAATCTTATTTTCTTGGTCAGGGACTAGACTTGACTTTAAACTATCCAACACCAAAATAATGACATTTTACTACATTATGTTATATTACATGACAATTTTATCTGTTTGAAAAAGTATTTCAATTTTTTTGTATTAACTTATTGTAAAAATCAGATATTTGACAATTAGTACCAAATAATCTGCCAAATTTTTTATTGGGCTTTATTAAGGTTAATTAATAATCATATTATAATTAACTTTAATATAGCCTGATAAAAAGTTTGGCAGATCATTTGGTACCACAGAAATATTAGATTGCTAAATATGTTGTTATATTTTAACAAATAGTAAATTATTTAGATTATATTATTTTACCTTATCTACTTTATCTCCAGTATCAGCTGCAGCATTTACAGTCATAGCTACTACACAACGTATACAACTGATAACTGCATTAACTATTACCTGAAAAATATATATTTTTTTAATGTAAAAAAGTATATCAAATGATTTTATTATTTAAATTTAACTTGTTTAATTTAATATACAGAAATTTCAAATATCCTTTAGAGTACAGTAACTTGCACAGGAATTTCAGAACTTGATGAACTTTACATATTAAATTGATGGTGCTGAATCTAATAATCATTCCAGAGAAATTTAAATAGATTTCAGGCTAAAGTAATCATGAATTTTAATCATTAAATGAAAAAAAAAAAAAAAAAAAAAAATGCAGAATAAAGATAGTTATGCACAAAGAAATATTTTTCAAAATTACATGAGCTGAAATTACATGAAAAATATCCCTAGATAATTTCTATTTATTTGCTATTTCAGAGTTCCTCTTGAAAGCACACTAAAATATATTCTTTATAAACATTAGTGCTGAATACTGTAGAAATTTTTTTATCTGAGTAGCCTTTTTTTTCTTACTTAGATAATGCATTGTTTCTCAAACTTAATCCACGAGCTCCCAGGAGTTCACAAATGCATTGAAAATTTTGAGTTCTCAGAAGAAAAAAGAAACATATCATATTGTAAAAAAAATTCTTATATTTACACACTCACTAAAGTTTAAATTCAAAATTATATATTTGTTTAAATTATAGCTTTTTTAAACAAAAAGGGCATCAGTGTTAGTTGAAGCTTTTTAATCACAAATAATTAGGGTGTAAAAATTTTATTCATTTCAGCCTTTTATTTTGTGTTCGACTGAAGATTAATCTGTATCTTAATTGGAAGTATTTATATACAAAGGCTTATATGCAGCCTTGGAATCCATACCCTTTTATTATTTTTTATGATCAGTTTGACTTACAACTGATGTCCAGAACAGAACTTAGTCATAAATCAGGGACTCCAGTATTGATATAATAGTCAATAGATAATTCATCAGCATTGAAAAAAGTGCTAAATAAGTGAATAAGAAAAAAGTGCTAAATAAGAAATAATTTCATTGATTTCTTAATTTAAATCTGTTTATGTATGTTTCATTGATTTGTTAAAAAGACAATACATTTAACAATAAGTAACTGTTATACAAAGTTTAATTATATATTCATATAATTAAAATTTTATTTATTTATAAAATAACGAGATACTTTTATAAATCATGTACTTAAAATTACTTACCAATATGTAAAACGTTGAAAATATTGGACTGCTTGTAGCTCGTAATTTTAGTCGAGCTCTATTGAAACGAATTAATAGGAAAAACAGAAATAAAGTATTTGGAATAATTATGCTTATATCCCAAATACGAACTCTAAAAGAAATAAAATCATCAACTTAAATTCAGCCTTTCAATAATGCTTATATAAAATTTAAGTTAATTACCTAGAATCAAGTATTTCTTCATATAAGATATATTTGCAGAAATTTTCTTCTGGAATAATAGGTGCTACTGTGGTCATATTGCTAGAGTCCATATCTGTGTAGCAAAACTTCAAACTTTCATTCCAAATTTGATGTTTAAATTATTAAAACTTTCAGAGATAAGATGATTAAATTTTTAAAAAGACATTTATATTATTTTTATTTAAATATTGCCAATATTATGATTGAAGAAAAATGTTTCTGTAAAAAAGAAGAAAATATATTTTAAATTATTATAAAATATTATTGAAAAATTCAGTAAAGATATATATTTTCTAGTTTTTAACATAAATAATTATATAAGGAAAGTTCAATAGACAACTAGAAAAGTATCATTAGAAGTTGAGAGAACGTACAATAGCATAGTAATTTTGAAACATGAACTTCCAAGTCAGAGGCAATAGTAACTGCACCTGGCAATACTGTTAATGTGTGAGAACATAAAACGGCACTGATAAAATGGCAACACTCTCTAGCAGTACATGAAGAGCAGTGTAGCATTGTTCAATTTTTGACAAAAACTGATCAACATTCATTGGAACATGCCAAACTGAATTACTGAGTAAAAAGACAACTGCTCGAGTTACCTCTGACTTGGAAGTTTCAATTTATATGCTATTACTCACCCTCTAGACAACCACTGTGACATGGCACACTAAAGTGTGGTGAGATTTTTGAGGTGTGCTGCCACTGCAAATACCCATACATAAGCAATGTCAGACTAGTAGTTCAATCAGTTCTACCTTCCTAGGACACATTTGGAAATTGTAACCAGTGTTATCGGTAACTGCATTTAGAAAACGTGACCTAAATAACCAACAGCATTTTTAAAAATCGCTGTTATGACGTCATAGGTTGTCCTGCAGTACTTACCGAAGTAACCGTGTGTGCTGCCAAATTTTTTAATTATTAAAAGTGTACCACAATAGAAAAAAGGTTGCGAATCACTGCTCTAGACTTTTGATTTGGTTTTCTATTGAATCTGCCTTATATAAAACATTTTCCTCCAAATCAACTAGAGATCTAAAATAAATGTTTTATCGAACAAATTATGTCTTCAAAAATGAAAAAAATATTTTTTTTAATTCTTTTTCTTTATAGAAAGTATTTTAAATTTCACAAATAATGATTTGCTCCAAAAAAATCATGTATTTATTGAAAATGTTTTAAAATCGATTTGCATTTATAAATAATCAAATAAGTTTTGTATATTGCATTATTAATATAAAGAAAGAATAAGAAATATTAATGTGTAAATGTTAATTGAAAAGTTTTATTAAAAAATCTTTCACCTTTGATATTGAAGATTTTTCAATTTCAGAAATTCAAAAGTATTTTATTCTATTATATACCAGTATTATTTGCTTAACTGTAAGATGTTTGAAAGCTATGTTATACTCTCACTAATTCATTATCATTAACATCAGCATCACAATATTGTAAAAGAGCAATATTCTGGGATAATCCTAGACAACTATTTATAACAGTATTAAATGGCTACATTGTCAGATAAAAGTAGAAATCAAAGAAAGATAACACCCCATAAAGAAAAAATTTGCATTATCTTGGTAAACTGATAGATTCTATAATCAAGAGCTATAAAAGCACCAAAGATATAACAGGCACATGGTAATATTTTAACATAGTTTTACTTCAATTAACAAAGCAGATACATTTTAATTCATTTAATTCTAACAATTGCCAGATTATAGTGGGCTATATTAGCACTAGTATTATTATTTTTACAAAAAAATATTTCTTGAGACTATACATACAGAATGAGTCAATTTCATTCAGTCCCTTCACACATTGTTGAGGTAATAACAATTCCACGGCAAAGTCAACCTTTTATTTTAGGCTACTCGTCCACATCCAAAGCAAAAATGTTAAAATAGGCCTCTAGTAGTGACACAATGATAAAATTAATAAATACATTTTAAAAAATTGCCAGGATAAATTTACTTTTACAAAAAAATTATATTATTATTATTAATTAAATGCAAAGTAATTTGGCACTAGAGGCAGGCATTAGATGCATTTAATTAATAATAGTAGTAGTAGTAATAGTAGTTGCAGTAATATAGCAAGATGTAATCCTGTAATCATTTGGCTTTAATATATAACTGTCACAGCCGATTGCAGAGATAGAGTTTACGTTAAACAACGTTTATCAACAGAACGGCCTATAGACGTTGGCTGACTGAACTGCGGTTTAAAATGCGTTGCAAAGACGACAATTGTCTATTTCTGAACGTCCTCTAAACGAACTTCGGCAAAACATTGGCTTTTACTTTCTTTGCTATTACTTCCCTATTTTAGGAGTTGTTCGGCCAATTGGGTTATTTGTTTGTGACGTCAGAAATGATTGCCAGCTATATTCCAAAAGATTCCAGAAATAAAATCTTAAGGACGTCAAAACCATTGTTCGGCAATTAATGATAATCCTTTTCCATTTCGATATTTAATTTCGTCACCAATACAGTTTAAAATATTAACAAATCCATATTTAAAAAATCTATACTAAATTTAAAATTTGTTTCCGGAATAGATTTTTAAGGAATTATTTTGGCATCTTATTATTGTCTCCCTTCATAACTATTAAAATGAATAATTTTAAATATTTTATTATTAATGTTACATTTTTTTATATCTATAAACAGATTTCTGTAATTATTAAAATTGTCTCATTTAACAGTATAATGATTCCAAAATGCATTAACGTTTTATAACCGACACGATACTCGAATTGTAAATAAATGCATCTGATTTAAATTATTGAAGTTTTAAGTCTTCACCCATTTGAATATTGGAATTGGAACATTTAAACAAATTTAAAGTATTTAATTTTGTTATTTTTGCTCCAAGCAATTAATTAATGAATAATTTTGTCGATTTGTACCGTTTACAATATTTATCAAAGGAACAATATCTGTTTTTATCTAAACTTTTCCACAAACAAAGCTACCACTCAAATTGAAAAATCCTCTAAACCTGCTGTCGAGTGAGTCTAGAAAGTAGGTCAAATAACTTGTTTCTAATTGCTGTCTACATTGTGGCAGGGGAGAAATGCCATCTCTGCAATGAAATTTTTCTGAACAGCAGTCTACCCGATCTGTAAACCGCCGTCAGCCTCTAAACATTGTCTCTGCAATTGGCTGTCAGGGTTTGGTTGTTTATGTTTGTTTAATTCATATAGGAGTTTAAGTTGTATTCTTATTCATTGGTGGAAGTAGAAATACCTTAGAGGTACATGCTCTATTCTATTACATCTCTTAATAACATCTGATTACACTCATCATCAAATACGATTAAGACACTGATTTGTTACATCATTCCAGGCTTTTCATAGTGCCAATTGATTTCATAATGTTATATTCCAGAAACCTTTGGTAAATACTTGTTCCTTATCATTAATCTCAACTGAGTAAAAGTGTGTCACAGTTAATAAGCTTTAAAATTTCCTATTACACTCTGAACCATTGGTTGTAGCAACAAATTAATATTAAGTGGAATATTACGCTAACATGGAGTAAATATTTGATGTAAGCTAAGATTTCAAAGCATAGTGTGATGCATTGTCCAGTAGCAAAAATGCTTTGGGTTCAAAATCATTTCATTTGCAATAACATTAGACAGTAGAACAAAAAGAGCTGACAAACCAATCAGAAAACAATTCCACTGTTACCTAGACTTTTCTATTGAATTTCCATATTACAGATAAATTAGGTTTAGAGTATCTCTTCATAGCTCAAGGAGTTTCCGAGTGGTATAAAACCATAGTTTTAACTTCATATCTACATCATAACATTTACATCCAGATGCATTTTATCTCAACAATAGTATTAACTGATCCTTGGCTGCTTTAAATGAGAAGCTTTTTTGATCTTTAGAGATGAAAATTTTGAATTGTAAGCATTTTCAGAATAGCTTCTTTCATCCACATTAAATACTAAATTTGGCAAGTAATTTTCTCATTCTATTATAGCTTTTAGTTGTGCATGAAATTCTTCTAGTCTAGGCCCTGCTAGTAGATCCTATAGAAGAATTACTGGGCATAAATATGATATCTCCAAAAATAAAACATTGATGACTCTAGCCAAATCGACAACTGAGCCAGGCTTGTTGATAAAGTGGGATCAGGCCAAGTTAATTAAAAAAATCTCTGATAAAGATAGGCTTTGAATTCTTAAGACATGGGAAATTTATAAAGATCATAATATGAAAGATGTATAAATGGCAAAAATGCTGAATTCATTTCTACAGACTTGGAAATCTATTATTGATAACCTAATACACAGCAACAGGGCAGTCATGTAGTAAGATGCTGTTATAAAATAATTTTGTTACTGTTTATTTTCTTACTTCATTTTACAATTTTATTTACATGGTTATATAGTGTGGGCATTAATATTGGAATAAGAAATGTTTGGTTCTTTGTAAAATGTTTTTGAAACTGGTGACCTAGAAAAATAAATTTAAAGAAAATTCTAGAACATTTAAAAATATTCAGCTTGCAACACAAATCTTCAGTAGAAGCCTGAAGCTGACAACTAAACAGGACTGAAAACATTTGCATTGTATATTTCACATTGTCTTGTTGCTGCTGGAAATGTATGTGAGATTAAGAAATATTAAAAAAACCATGTGTAAAAAAAATCACTACGCATTTACATGTAATGCTTAGTGACTTTATAACTTAATGACTTTGCATCCTACTGTATATGCTATATCAATGACAGAAAATGGTCTTTGATGTATGAGATCACTTAATTACTGCTGGGGTACATGTGCCTAAGAGCATTCATGTAGACTGCTATAAAAGAATTTCATTTCAGAAGATTCACTTACTAAGGGACCTGCAAATTATCTTAGAAATAATTGCACTTTACATGCTATAAAATACAAGGTGATCCTTATTAAAGAGTACGGATTCAGAGCTTTCTGTAAGTAAGAGCCATTGCACAAATAACCAAATTTGATATGCATACGGTCTCGAAAAATAATAGTTTTAATTTTCAGGAAAAAGTTAGTTTACTTCAAAATTTTAATTTTATAAAGTTAAATAAATAAAAATTAATAAAGATTGCACACAAAAATTGCAATACCTTTTTACTATAATTTTTATTTTCTTTCAGCATGGTTTCACCTGTCTTCCTGTAAATCTTAATTATGATATTAATGAAAATATGAAATGGTTTGAA